AGTCACAGTAGCATGCACACAATACAGACACAGTCACAGTGGCATGCACACAATACAGAGACACAGTCACAGTAGCATGCACACAATACAGACACAGTCACAGTAGCATGCACACAATACAGACACAGTCACAGTAGCATGCACACAATACAGACACAGTCACAGTAGCATGCACACAATACAGACACAGTCACAGTAGCATGCACACAATAATACAGGCACAGTCACAGTAGCATGCACACAATACAGACACAGTCACAGTAGCATGCACACAATACAGACACAGTCACAGTGGCATGCACACAATACAGACACAGTCACAGTAGCATGCACACAATACAGGCACAGTCACAGTAGCATGCACACAATACAGACACAGTCACAGTAGCATGCACACAATACAGACACAGTCACAGTAGCATGCACACAATACAGACACAGTCACAGTAGCATGCACACAATACAGGCACAGTCACAGTAGCATGCACACAATACAGACACAGTCACAGTAGCATGCACACAATACAGACACAGTCACAGTGGCATGCACACAATACAGACACAGTCACAGTAGCATGCACACAATACAGGCACAGTCACAGTAGCATGCACACAATACAGACACAGTCACAGTAGCATGCACACAATACAGACACAGTCACAGTGGCATGCACACAATACAGACACAGTCACAGTGGCATGCACACAATACAGACACCGTCACAGTAGCCTGCACATAATACAGTCACAGTCACAGTAGCATGCACACAATACAGTCACAGTCACAGTCATGCAGCATGCACACGGTAGCAGACACACATCACAGTAGCATGCACACAAGTCACAGGCACACAGTAGCATGCACACAATACAGACACAGTCACAGTAGCATGCACACAATACAGACACAGTCACAGTAGCATGCACACACAATACAGACACAGTCACAGTAGCATGCACACAATACAGACACAGTCACAGTAGCATGCACACAATACAGACACAGTCACAGTAGCATGCACACAATACAGACACAGTCACAGTAGCATGCACACAATACAGACACAGTCACAGTAGCATGCACACAATACAGACACAGTCACAGTAGCATGCACACAATACAGACACAGTCACAGTAGCATGCACACAATACAGACACAGTCACAGTAGCATGCACACAATACAGACACAGTCACAGTAGCATGCACACAATACAGTCACAGTCACAGTAGCATGCACATAATACAGTCACAGTCACAGTAGCATGCACACAATACAGTCACAGTAGCCTGCACACAATACAGACACAGTCACAGTAGCATGCACACAATACAGACACAGTCACAGTAGCATGCACACAATACAGTCACAGTAGCCTGCACACAATACAGACACAGTCACAGTAGCATGCACACAATACAGACACAGTCACAGTAGCATGCACATAATACAGTCACAGTCACAGTAGCCTGCACACAATACAGACACAGTCACAGTAGCATGCACACAATACAGACACAGTCACAGTAGCATGCACACAATACAGTCACAGTCACAGTAGCATGCACACAATACAGACACAGTCACAGTAGCATGCACACAATACAGGCACAGTCACAGTAGCATGCACACAATACAGTCACAGTCACAGTAGCATGCACATAATACAGACACAGTCACAGTAGCATGCACACAATACAGACACAGTCACAGTAGCATGCACACAATACAGTCACAGTCACAGTAGCATGCACACAATACAGACACAGTCACAGTAGCATGCACACAATACAGACACCGTCACAGTAGCATGCACACAATACAGACACAGTCACAGTAGCATGCACACAATACAGACACAGTCACAGTAGCATGCACACAACACAGACACAGTCACAGTAGCATGCACACAATACAGTCACAGTCACAGTAGCATGCACACAATACAGTCACAGTCACAGTAGCATGCACACAATACAGTCACAGTCACAGTAGCATGCACACAATACACACACAGTCACAGTAGCCTGCACACAATACAGTCACAGTCACAGTAGCATGCACACAATACAGACACAGACACAGTAGCATGCACATAATACAGTCACAGTCACAGTAGCATGCACACAATACAGGCACAGTAGCCTGCACACAATACAGGCACAGTCACAGTAGCATGCACACAATACAGACACAGTCACAGTAGCATGCACACAATACAGACACAGTCACAGTAGCATGCACACAATACAGTCACAGTAGCCTGCACACAATACAGACACCGTCACAGTAGCATGCACACAATACAGACACCGTCACTGTAGCATGCACACAATACTACCTAGATGTGTTACCTACCTTCCCTGTTCCAGCAACACCACGTCCGTCACACCCCGCTCTGCCAGGTGATACGCAATCGAGGACCCCACCACGCCTCCGCCACACACCACCACCCTCGCCTGCTGGGGTAGTGACGACACACCTGTGCTGTATGTTCTCCTGTCAAGTGTCCCGCTGCTCAGACCTCTGTACTGCCTCATGCAACACTCCACTGACCGGTTCCTGTTTGTGGGTATAGGGACCCATGTTCTTGTCAGTGAATAACATCTGGACAGGGCGCCTTTAAACATGTTGATATTCAGCATCACAGCCCTCGTGCTCCACTCACCCTCACCCTCACAGTTGCGTACGGCAATGTTCCATCAAATAGAGGTCTGCTTGTGTGGCGTCATACATCAAGGACTAACCCATGGCCTGGTATGATCTCAGCCCACAGCCTGTTAAATAAACATTAACCGGTTTATGCTTGTTTGCTATCTGAACACCTGACCTGACATGGATATGGACCAGCAACACACCAATATGAACTGTATTGTGTCTGTCCGAGGTTGAAGCATGATAGTGTTATACTGCGTTGTCGAGGTCCAAGGTTGGAACATGACAGCCTCGTACTGTGTTACAAATTGGGTATCAAAACTTACGTTATAACTTTACAATATGGGATTTGGATATATATGGGAAAGACAGTATATTAGTAGCTTAAATTCCTTCCTGTCTGAATTTATGATCAGGGCTCAGCATATTTCCCATCAAGAATGGCATAACTCGTTATCATCAAGTTCTAAAAATTATTCACATTCTCTTTTCAAGTGTAATCTATCTATGGAACCATATCTAAGTGTTATTAACGTTAGTAAATTTCGCTTTGCACTCGCACAGTTTCGCTGTGGTTCCCATCAATTAAATATTGAGACAGGTAGATACACAAATAAGCCCAGACATCACAGGTTATGTAACATGTGCGACAATGGATATATAGAAAACGAGTATCATTTCCTTTTAGTGTGTACTGCATACAGTTCTTTGCGCACTATATATATTCCTGCCAAGTTTTACACATTCCCTTCTTTGTCAAATGTCAGTATATTGATGACCTCGAACAATACCTTTGTCATCAGAAATGTAGCAATGTTTGTTTATTATGCTGTAAAGCACCGCCAATCATATATGGCTGCAAACATTTAATATTTGGATTATGGGCCGATGGCCTACATACACTCTGCGAATAAAGAATTTGTTTGTGTTGAGGGAATATTCCGATGGACATGGCACTGTCATACTGCAGGGGGTCAAATGTTGAGAGATGAGAGTGTTATACAGTGTTGAGAGATGAGAGTGTTATACAGTGTTGAGAGATGAGAGTGTTATACAGTGTTGAGAGATGAGAGTGTTATACAGTGTTGAGAGATGAGAGTGTTATACAGTGTTGAGAGATGAGAGTGTGATACAGTGTTGAGAGATGAGAGTGTTATACAGTGTTGAGAGATGAGAGTGTGATACAGTGTTGAGAGATGAGAGTGTTATACAGTGTTGAGAGATGAGAGTGTTATACAGTGTTGAGAGATGAGATGAGAGTGTGATACAGTGTTGAGAGATGAGAGTGTGATACAGTGTTGAGAGATGAGAGTGTTTTACAGTGTTGAGAGATGAGAGTGTTATACAGTGTTGAGAGATGAGAGTGTTATACAGTGTTGAGAGATGAGAATGTTATACAGTGTTGAGAGATGAGAGTGTTATACAGTGTTGAGAGATGAGAGTGTGATACAGTGTTGAAAGATGAGAGTGTTATACAGTGTTGAGAAATGAGAGTGTTATACAGTGTTGAGAGATGAGAGTGTGATACAGTGTTGAGAGATGAGAGTGTTATACAGTGTTGAGAGATGAGAGTGTGATACAGTGTTGAGAGATGAGAGTGTTATACAGTGTTGAGAGATGAGAGTGTTATACAGTGTTGAGAGATGAGAGTGTTATACAGTGTTGGAGTGTCATAGGAGGGAACATAGCAGTGTTATACTGGTAACTTGACAGCGCCCTGAACACAATCCTGTGTTGTCCCCGTGTTGTGTTGTCGGTGTGATAGGATAGAACATGGTAGTATATACGGTGTTGTGGGGGTCCAAGGTTGGAACATGGTAGTATATACGGTGTTGTGGGGGTCCAAGGTTGGAACATGGTAGTATATACTGTGTTGTGAGGTGAGGTGAGGTGAGGTGAAATTGGGTTTAAGGTCGCGCTGGAGAATATTTCGCTCATATGACGACATGCATGCGTGTGTATGTGTATGTGCGGCTGCTTGTACTAGCCCAGACTTAAGCTGGTTTTATAGTGCTAGCCCACTGAGATACCATGCCGCAGTGAAGCATGAATACCCCACTCAGACACATTATACTGACTCCGAACCGACCAGTCCTTGTTGTACCCATTAATGCCGAGCGCCAGGCAGGGACCAACAAGTACCATATTTTAACGTCTTTTGGTATGACGCGGCCGCGGATCGAACCCGCGACCTTCCGCTCTCCGGGCGGACGCTCTAACCACTACACCACGGAGGCGGTCTACTGTGTTGTGGGAGTCCAAGGTTGGAAAATGGCAGTATATACTGTGTTAGGTGGTTTAAGGTTGGAACATGGTAGTATATACTGTGTTGTGGGGGTCCAAGGTTGGAACGTGGTCATATTTTATTGTAAATATCCAGACACTAGAAACACGTTGTCATGATATCAATCAAGACCTTGAAGGCACACAAGGGGAGACAAAGAGAAATCAAAACCAAATATTGTGCCTGGCACTTTTCCACCCTTTAGTGCTTTAATAGCACCTACAATCTCATTAATCATTATATCATGGTTAAGTAAAATATCGCAACCAGCAACAGAAGCATGGTCGTCAGTGACATGTCTGCGATATACAAGAAGGTCACCGGTAGTCCCAACATCAGTCCCAACATCAGTCCCAACATCACGGATATTTGGTTACACGGTTTTGAATTAGTATTTCCACTGTGTAACACGACTTCCGACGGTGAAAATTCAGTTCTGACCAGAATGTTTTGTAATTTTTATTGTTGTCCATTATCAAGAATGTCAATGAATACATCCCTTTTGTGAAATATTTCTCTACATTTATTATATGTTTTATTACGTGTACGTGTCGTCAGCAACTCTGAAATTATATAAAAGTTAATATTTTGTGCATTTCCCATTTTCCCATTACACACACGATATGTTCATGTCAAACTTCATATGGGGAAATAAACGAAGAGAAATACAGTGTATATTCAACCCTTGGGACGCCTGAAGCAATGAGATCATGTTTCTGGTTATCTGGTACATGGCAGCCTGTCAATGGCTGTCTTGACCTTGTACAAGGTCTGGAGCTTCTCGTGACGCGAGTTGACTCTGAGGTAAAACAGGTCATTCTGGCACAGGAATAGAGGAAGGTTCTACCGTGGACATGGCCAACTTGGGGGTGTATATACCAGCCTTAGCAGAGTACCGCTTCCCACCAATGTCAATTTGATAGTGTGCGTCTTTCTCCATCACGAATTTGTTCATGTTTTTCTTCAGTTTGGGATTGCCGCCGTCGTCAAAGTCGCTGACGTATCCGAGACACACCATCCGGTCCAGCGTGAAGCCGTATCCGCATGTGGTGGTGACCCCCGCGAACACCCCATTGCGGTACACGGGCTCACCACCCCATGGCCACAGGTCACGGTTCACGTCAAAGTCGTCCAGCAGGAACTGTACAAACTTCTTCTTGATGCCGTTCTCCTTCTGTTCCTTGAGGGCCTCTCGGCCAATGAAATCGCCTTTCTGTTGAGAGAAATAGCTATTATTTAATTTTCCAAGGGTTAAACATGACACAGAGACACGAATAAATGAAGTAAACTGACAGCAGTGGGAGGTACACAAGTCGAGGGGAAAACAAGAATCATTAGATTGCAACAGAAAGTGAACTAGCAGGAATGGCTCGTTGATCTGACGCCATCTTGACACATCTATTCTGACAGAGCACCAGCCACAAACGTATACAGAATCAGCCCTACATGTAGGAACATTAGTTTACCTCTACACGGCTGCCATGACTCACAGCACCAGCCACAACCATATCACAGAATCAGCCCTACAGTAGGCACTGTAGCTCACCTCTACACGGCTGACAAGACTCAGCACCAGCCACAACCGTATCACAGAATCAGCCCTACATGTAGGCACTGTGGCTCACCTCCAGCTTTACACGGAACTCCCGGCCACACTCCATGGGGGTTGTCAGGGCATTCAGGTCCAGGCCCCAGTAAACGAAGAACTTCTCCATGCGTAGGTGTCGCATGGCGTAGTACCCAGCATTCCTCACTCCGTAATGAATCCCAGATTGCATCAGTGTGTCGTAGGTGTGGATGGCGTACTGGAAAAATAGTGTCAGAAATAGGATAGCGACAGCAAGCAGGGTCAGAATCTCAGGATGTTTCTGTCATGTCTTGTGAGCGAACCAACTCTCCAGACAGGTACCGTAGTTCTGTATGGTCATGTTAAAGCTGTTTCATCTATTTACAGTTAAAACAAATAGAAAGGAATTCATGGCAATGAGCTGTATAATAATTAGACTGAATTTGAAAAAACACAAAATGTGTGCATTTTTTTCTAATGCATTAAATCTGATAACTAGTTCATGTTTTTGCATGATTGTTGTTCTGGCTCGTTATAAACTAAACAAATACAAAACAAGAGATGCAAAGCTTACATCAGAGGGGATGTAGAGGATAAATCCATCCTCCCCAGAATGTGTCAGTCTCATGGCGATGATTCCGCTGGCGTAGCCGACGTCGATAACCTGCCAACAACAGCTGATGATGCAGCAGACACACACAACAGCTGATGATGCAGTAGACACACACAACAGCTGGTGATGCAGCAGATACACACAACAGCTGGTGATGCAGCAGATACACACAACAGTTGATGATGCAGCAGATACTCACAACAGCTGATGATGCAGCAGATACCCAGAACAGCTGATGATGCAGCAGACACACACAACAGCTGATGATTCAGTAGACACACACAAACAGCTGATGATGCAGAAGATACACAGAACAGCTGATGATACAGCAGACACACACAAGAGCTGATGATGCAGCAGACACATACAACAGCTGATGATGCAGTAGACATACACACAACAGCTACATCAAGTATCATGTATCGGCTGAGGAACAAGACTAGACAGTATTTGTAAGAGCGGTAAAAAGATTGCTGAATCAAAGAGACTTTGGCTGAATCTTAGTCATGTTGAAGGCCAAGTTGCACGTATTGCCAAACTTGTTTTCAAAACATTACTTTCCTTTGTCAATACAGAATTAATACATGAATCAGTGCATGGATGGGGCCCTTATGCATCGTATGATTGGGTTTATTCCGCAGTGGATCAATAGATCGATAAATCATGATCCCCCCATCATCAAGTGTAAGATCGTACATTTCAAAGATTCATGCGTGTCATCATTTCCTAATTATTTACATTGATAATACTGTCTGGTCCAGATTTGATTATTTATAGATCATAGATTGGTTATTGCAGATGGGTTATTGCGGCATTAAACAATAACCAACAAACACAATAACTTCACAACACTTTGACTTAATTATGGGTATTCAGAAGATACCTACTTTTCCAGTCATCGCTTTGAACTCGTTTTTGTCCGTGGGCGTGTCAGACACATCGGCCAGGAGATGCTGGGCGTGAGGACCAATCATGTTGATCCCGGAGTACATTGACGTCACATCCTCCACCTGCACAGAGCCATCTGGTGGCAGGTGGCGACGTAACCATGCCAACGCCCGGGTCTGTTGTTTGGATGGGCAGATCATAAAGAAACTGACAACAGTGAAGGATGTAATCAGAGTTTGTTGGGCAGCCATCAAGAGGTAACTGAAGCAGTCACACACTGTACAGTGATGGAGTGATATAATATTGCCTTTAGCAAGCTCCAACGCAAGTCTAGATCGTCTTGTTTATGTACAATCTATGACTGAGTTTCTTGGGTATATTTGAAGATAGACAATCAAATTTTGATATTTTCACAACCTGAAATCGTCTATAGTGACAAAGGCAGAGACATCTATGGTTGTTAACCGTCACCAATGACTTGAACACTTTCCTCCTCTAACCTGTTTTCCTCCAGCCGGACTATACTGCAATCGTTCTCGAAGCCTCCCCGCTCATTCTGCATCCCAGTGTGGACGATGTTGCCGATGTCCTGGTCGATGTCGTTGGAACACAGATACTGCAAGAAGTCCACTGCCTCTCTACCTGCAGACTGGACACAGGTCAAGAGTATAGGGATGTGTAACCCCAGTAGTGTAGACTAGAGACAGGTCAAGAGTATAGGGATGTGTAACCCCAGTAGTGTAGACTGCAGACAGGTCAACAGTATATGGAGATGGATAAGCCCAGTAGTGCACCAAGAAGTCCTCCACACTGGAGACAGGTCAATAGTATAGGGAGATGGATAAGCCCAGTAGTGCACCAAACTAGTCCTCCACACTGGAGACAGGTCAATAGTATAGGGAGATGGATAAGCCCAGTTATGAACCAAACCTGACCGTTACGTTATTCCATAACATGTGAAGATGTAACTCCACACACATACAACATGTCACAATCTGCACCACAATGCTTCATCAATCCAGGCAAGAGTGTTTGTGTGCTTCATCTAATTCTTTATATTAAACATACTGGTTCCTGCCAGTAACTGCCTTGCGTCACTTTTACCATGAGGAGAATATGTTAAATGCTTTATGAATCTATCGCCCTTTTGTTCAACATGAGAAGACACAGACAGGGAAATATCTGCCCTTTGTTGGTTTCTGTTTTCCACTCAGGAAAGTAAAGCATGTGCATGCAATGAGTTACCTTGATGACAAACTTGGTGAATGAGGACATGTCGATGAGACAGACCCTCTCCTTGCACGCCCAGTACTCATCCTGGACGCTGTCGAAACATGTCGGCTTTCCAAACGTTCCGCGGTGACTGATGGTGTCGGAGTCAACATCCTCATCTGGGACACAAGTATAATCAAGCATCATATTGTGTCTCTGGGTTCTCAACTGTAAGTCATGAAACATGTTATACATATACTCAAGCATCATATTGTGTCTCTTGAGTTCTCAAATGTCCGTCATTTAACATGTTAAGTATATACTCAAGCATCATATTGTGTCTCGTGGGTTCTCAACTGTACGTCATGAAACATATTACATATATACTCAAGCATCACATTGTGTTTCTTGGGTTCTCAACTGTACGTCATGAAACATGTTACGTATATACTCAAGCATCATATTGTGTTTCTTGGATTCTCAACTGTAAGTCATGAAACATGTTAAGTATATACTCAAGCATCATATTGTGTCTCTTGAGTTCTCAACTGTAAGTCATGAAACATGTTACACATATACTCAAGCATCATATTGTGTCTCTTGGATTCTCAACAGTCCGTCATGAAACATGTTAAGTATATACTCAAGCATCATATTGTGTTTCTTGAGTTCTCAACTGTACGTCATGAAACATGTTACACATATACTCAAGCATCATATTGTGTCTCTTGAGTTCTCAACTGTCCGTCATGAAACATGTTAAGTATATACTCAAGCATCATATTGTGTTTCTTGAGTTCTCAACTGTACGTCATGAAACATGTTACACATATACCCAAGCATCATATTGTGTCTCTTGAGTTCTCAACTGTACGTCATGAAACATGTTAAGTATATACTCAAGCATCATATTGTGTTTCTTGAGTTCTCAACTGTAAGTCATGAAATATGTTAAGTATATACTCAAGCATCATATTGTTTTTCTTGAGTTCTCAACTGTCCGTCATGAAACATGTTAAGTATATACTCAAGCATCATATTGTGTTTCTTGAGTTCTCAACTGTACGTCATGAAACATGTTAAGTATATACTCAAGCATCATATTGTGTTTCTTGAGTTCTCAACTGTACGTCATGAAACATGTTACTCATATACTCAAGCATCATATTGTGTTTCTTGAGTTCTCAACTGTCCGTCATGAAACATGTTACACATATACCCAAGCATCATATTGTGTCTCTTGAGTTCTCAACTGTACGTCATGAAACATGTTAAGTATATACTCAAGCATCATATTGTGTTTCTTGAGTTCTCAACTGTACGTCATGAAAGATGTTACATATATACTCGAGCATCATATTGTGTTTCTTGAGTTCTCAACTGTACGTCATGATACATGTTACTCATATACTCAAGCATCATATTGTGTTTCTTGAGTTCTCAACAGTCCGTCATGAAAGATGTTACATATATACTCGAGCATCATATTGTGTTTCTTGAGTTCTCAACTGTACGTCATGAAACATGTTACATATATACTCGAGCATCATATTGTGTCTCTTGAGTTCTCAACTGTCCGTCATGAAACATGTTACACATATACTCAAGCATCATATTGTGTTTCTTGAGTTCTCAACTGTACGTCATGAAACATGTTAAGTATATACTCAAGCATCATATTGTTTTTCTTGAGTTCTCAACTGTCCGTCATCAAACATGTTACACATATACTCGAGCATCATATTGTGTTTCTTGAGTTCTCAACTGTAAGTCATGAAACATGTTACTCATATACTCGAGCATCATATTGTGTTTCTTGGGTTCTCAACTGTCCGTCATGAAACATGTTAAGTATATACTCAAGCATCATATTGTGTTTCTTGAGTTCTCAACTGTCCGTCATGAAACATGTTACACATATACGCATCATATTGTGTTTCTTGAGTTCTCAACTGTCCGTCATGAAACATGTTATTCATATACTCGAGCATCATATTGTGTTTCTTGAGTTCTCAACTGTCCGTCATGAAACATGTTACTCATATACTCGAGCATCATGTTGTGTTTCTTGAGTTCTCAACTGTACGTCATGAAACATGTTACACATATACTCAAGCATCATATTGTGTCTCTTGGGTTCTCAACTGTCCGTCATGAAACATGTTACACATATACTCAAGCATCATATTGTGTCTCTTGAGTTCTCAACTGTCCGTCATGAAACATGTTACTCATATACTCAAGCATCATATTGTGTTTCTTGAGTTCTCAACTGTACGTCATGAAACATGTTACACATATACTCGAGCATCATATTGTGTCTCTTGGGTTCTCAACTGTCCGTCATGAAACATGTTAAGTATATACTCAAGCATCATATTGTGTTTCTTGAGTTCTCAACTGTCCGTCATGAAACATGTTACACATATACTCAAGCATCATATTGTGTCTCTTGGGTTCTCAACTGTCCGTCATGAAACATGTTACTCATATACTCGAGCATCATATTGTGTCTCTTGAGTTCTCAACTGTCCGTCATGAAACATGTTACTCATATACTCGAGCATCATATTGTGTCCCTTGAGTTCTCAACTGTCCGTCATGAAACATGTTACTCATATACTCAAGCATGATATTGTGTCTCTTGAGTTCTCAACAGTCCGTCATGAAGCATCTACATATACTCAAGCATGATATTGTGTTTCTTGGATTCTCAACTGTCCGTCATGAAACATGTTAAGTATATACTCAAGCATCATATTGTGTCTCTAGAGTTCTCAACTGTACGTCATGAAACATGTTACACATATACTCAAGCATCGCATTGTGTCTCTTGGATTCTCAACTCTCCGTCATGAAAGATGTTACATATATACTCGAGCATCATAGTGTGTATCTTTGATTCTCAACTGTACGTCATGAAAGATGTTAAGTATATACTCAAGCATCATATTGTGTCTCTTGGGTTCTCAACTCTCCGTCATGAAAGATGTTACATATATACTCGAGCATCATAGTGTGTATCTTGGATTCTCAACTGTACGTCATGAAACATGTTAAGTATATACTCAAGCATCATATTGTGTCTCTTGGGTTCTCAACTCTCCGTCATGAAAGATGTTACATATATACTCGAGCATCATAGTGTGTATCTTGGGTTCTCAACTGTCCGTCATGAAACATGTTAAGTATATACTCAAGCATCATATTGTGTCTCTTGAGTTCTCAACTCTCCGTCATGAAAGATGTTACATATATACTCGAGCATCATAGTGTGTATCTTGGATTCTCAACTGTACGTCATGAAACATGTTAAGTATATACTCAAGCATCATATTGTGTCTCTTGGGTTCTCAACTCTCCGTCATGAAAGATGTTACATATATACTCGAGCATCATAGTGTGTATCTTGGGTTCTCAACTGTACGTCATGAAACATGTTAAGTATGTACTCAAGCATCATATTGTGTCTCTTGGGTTCTCAACTCTCCGTCATGAAAGATGTTACATATATACTCGAGCAACATAGTGTGTATCTTGGATTCTCAACTGTCCGTCATGAAACATGTTACATATAAACTCAAGCATCATATTGTGTCTCTTGGGTTCTCAACTCTCCGTCATGAAACATGTTCCATATATACTCGAGCATCATATTGTGTCTCTTGAGTTCTCAACTGTACGTCTTGAAATAAGTTACCTATATTGTCAAGCATCTTATTGTGTCTCTTGAGTTCTCAACTCTCCGTCATGAAACATGTTACGTATACACTCGAGCATCATATTGTGTCTCTTGAGTTCTCAACAGTCCGACATGTTCCATATATACTCAAGCATCATATTGTGTCTCTTGGGTTCTCAACTGTATGTCTTGAAATAAGTTTCCTATATAGTCAAGCATATTTTCCATGTGGGTCATCAGCTGTTGTGTGTGTCTGATCTCCTGCTAGTTGAGATTCAAGAGTGGAAACAATGTGAAGGTCCTACATCAACATGGGACTATAAATGGATGGTAGTTTCTAGTCTCCTTCATTACTGACTGTTTCAGCAAATCCGTGAATAATCTTAAACTTCCAAATGCTTGGTCAGGTTCTGTCATTGTGCCCATAACGTCTCCAAATGTTTCACATAACAGGGTAAGGAATAATCTTTCACTTTCTGTAATGTTGTGGGCGTGATTACCTTGTCCGAGTTTGTCAAACCACACAGCTCTCTCGTAGGCCATGGTTTCCCCGAAGTACCCCCCAGCAACTTCCAGCCGCGTGTGGAGGGGGGATGTCCGCAGTTGCCGACCTGTCTTAAACTCGGACTGTCGGGGGTAGTTGAGGGTAAACTGGGCACCTGCGGACATACTACGTCAATATGAACGTCTGGTATAGACACAACACGATACTTATCCAACAACGTCATTATCTTCCTCATGGCTATCTGGTGAGAAAATTAAATCTAAGGTTACCTTTGTAACGAGCAGAGGAAAGTATGTTTTCGTATTTCCAAATGTCTTAACTTTGCTTAATTATCAGTTGCTCAGGAAGACAGTGTACACGCATTTGAACTGTCATAACTGGTTATCCTAAAGGTTTTACACAATCATCAGATAATATTGATGATGCCAAATTTCTGACACCTGCGTAATCATGGTAACTTAAATCTGTCTTGTACAGATCTTTAGAATATTTTCTTTTATTTATTGTTCCCGCTGCCAAGTGATGATAACCCACCACCAGTTATATCCCAGTACACACCGGGATGGACAGAAGACAACTGTGGTTGCCACATGAAGCAGGCATACAAGCCGCCAGCAACTCCACCCTGGTGTATATAAAGGTATACAAGCCGCCAGCAACTCCACCCTGGTGTATATAAAGGTATACAAGCCGCCAGCAACTCCACCCTGGTGTATATAAAGGTATACAAGCCGCCAGCAACTCCACCCTGGTGTATATAAAGGTATACAAGCCGCCAGCAACTTCACCCTGGTGTATATAAAGGTATACAAGCCGCCAGCAACTCCACCCTGGTGTATATAAAGGTATACAAGCCGCCAGCAACTCCACCCTGGTGTATATAAAGGTATACAAGCATCGTGAAGCATCCTGCTGGCTTCCAAGCCACGACTTCATATGTTTCGTAGTGACTCCGATACTTCAACATACCTTAACACAGGCTTATGCCAGTCAAAGCAGTAAGATCAACAAAGTGATCTTAGCACTATGGGTATCTTCCATACCTAAACATAGACTTATGACAGTCGAAACACTAAGGTTGTTATGTTCAACGTCACCATCGGCCTCTTTCCACAGGAGTTATCTCAGGACTATGGGTATCTTCCATCCTTTAACTGACATAAGTTTGAAGAGAGCTAGAATCATCATAGTGTTAAAACCCTGAACATAGTTTTAAATTGGAACTTAATATATATATTTTACTCTGGTACATTGTTATGAGGTATTTTTATGTTGAGACTCTAACCTTGGTGTGTTTTGAGATGCATTTGCAGATAAGTGAACTTGGCAACTGCTCGACTCAGGCTTTAACAAGGGGATCTGTACTGAGTTCCTCAGTGGAGCATAACATACAATGTGTTGTGAAAACTAAGGGAGGTAACTCATTTTACTGACCATTCAACTACAAGTTCCGTACGTAGAGCGTATTGTTCTCTACCAAAAGCATTGTAAAGCTTTATGGAGTATGGAGTATTGATACTGAGAGGTAGAAATAGATTCTTTCACATTTCAGTGATCTATTTTCACCAATAATTCTTGAAAAGTCTTTCATATGTCTCCTTTCTTCATACTTTGCAAGGCGGATTAAGGACTACATTTCCAATATGAAATGGAACATTTAATATTTAACATTTAATATATTAAGTATTGAAATCGGATCTTGAAGCCCTTAGAGCAGATACCACAACGATATTTATTTGTTTTCACATCCGGAAAATGCACAGGGCAGATACAATGTATTGGCCTCAAATTTCTGTTTACAAAGCGTTTTGGCTCACAAGGAAGAACACATGTTGCAAGGGTGTTTGAAGTGAAAGGATATCATTTATTTTCCCAAAACAATTAGCTGGGGAGGAAATAAATTAAAGTACAGATGGGCACAATTCAGTAATAACTTAGATTATTCCAAACGTGATGCATACTTTTACTGATATACAGGTATAAACAGTTAAATTATATGTTAAAAAGTGTTCATTGTTAACAGTAGCTGTGCCACAGGATGAAACAAGGATTACCTAGGACCTCCTTGACTCGATCTCGCAGGAAGCGCCTGTTGTTATGGAGACCAGCAAAGCGTCGGACATCGTGTGCCCACATGTCAACGCTTGGCTCCCCATCCAAGATCCACTCCGTCAGGTACTTGCCAATAGCGCCAGCTCCAACAATACCCCGGGAGTTCATTCCTGCTGCCACGAAGTAGTTGGCCACCTGCAACACGACAGTCAACACAGGCTGGTCAACACGCTGATCAGCAAGCCAGCCAATATGCCTGCCACAGTCAACACTTTTGTAAACACGCCGGTCAAACCTCCAGGCAATAAATCAGTCAACACACTGTTGACCGCGTCAGTCAACAAGCCAGTCAACCCATCAGGCAACACTCCGTACAACACTCTTGCCACCATGCCTGTCAGTATTGCGGTCAAAACACTCCAGTGAATACAACAGTCAACACTGCCTGTCACTACATGCCAGTCAACACGCAGGTCACCACGCCGCGCTACACGCCGGTCAACACGTTGTTCAGCACACCAGACAACATGATGGTCAACACATTGGTCTACGCGCCAGACATCACACTGTCTGCACTCAATGCAATTTCCACACCAGTCAACAAGTGTGGCAGCATGACAATATGCCAGTCAACTCTCAGGTCATCACAAGTATTGAGACAACAGTGAAACGCCCGTCAACACACTGGATCATACTCCTCTCAACATTTGTTAAAACTGTTGATGATATTGGCACGTACACTCTTTCACTTTGCATGGAAACTGAAAGACAAAATGAAATGAAATAACTGGAATGCTATGTGGTGAAAATAACCTATCACTTTTCACCTGTGGTGAAATAAGCAAGTTACTAATGCACACACTGGTAAAGTGTTCCTGTGTCATTTACTGTAATATACTGAAGTTATTTCGGTTTGCTGTTGATCCAAAATTTATAATGTATATTCGATGTGAGACTGATCCTCTCGCTTCGATGTGTAAAACCTCATGGCGTGTCCAGAACAAGAATATAAGGAACCGAAGCTCATCCACGTGTTATGTTATTACTGACGTCCACAGCCTCGAGACAATACATTTACCTCGGCCGATTCTCCAAGGATCCAGTTGGAGTCGGGTGTGAAACTCTCCGGGCCGTTAAAGAGCTGCCTCACTTCCGCCGTCTCAATGCAAGGCATTCGTACCAGGGTCTCATCCATTAGAACCTCTACAAACAACACAGAATCACTGTTGTAATACACATGAACACTGTTGTAATATACAGAAACACTGTTGTAATATACAGAAACACTGTTGTAATAGACAGACTCACTGTAGTAATATACAGAAACACTGTTGTAATAGACAGAAACACTGTTGTAATATACAGAAACACTATTGTAATAGACAGAGACGCTGTTGTAATAGACAGAAACATTGTTGTAATGTGCAGAATCACAGTTGTAATGTGCAGAATCACTGTTGTAATATGCAGAATCACAGTTGTAATGTGCAGAATCACAGTTGTAATATGCAGAATCACTGTTGTAATGTGCAGAATCACTGTTGTAATGGGCAGAATCACAGTTGTAAAAGGATGATGTTACAGATATTCACTCTATGAACTGTGCAAAATCGCAGTTACTATTTACAGGAACAACACGTATGATACACTGTTCATTCACTCAAGACGGCTATTGCTACAACACATATGATACACTGTTCATTCACTCAAGACGGCTGTTGCTGTGAGTGTTCAGGCACTTGACAATCTCATGTTGCTGCACACAGGAAAGTCACGCAGGAGACTGGGGCTCTGAGTATGACAATCCATGCACCGACCTGCCCCTGTAGCTGCTCCAGTATACTTTGTTACCATTATAATGTAGAAAATGTAGCAAGCTGATAATGATTACGAGAAATTAAGTGACAGGTGGATATTGGAGAGTATATCAGTCCTATTGTATTGTTATACAAACATGTTTAGGGTCGCTGTGTAGAGTCCTGTACACGAGAACTACTCACGGAAGTGGTCCCAATCTTCTGGCAGCGATTGGAACTCAAACTTATCTGGAATACCATGCGTGAACACTGGCTTGCCCACCGGCTCGAATCCCCCAACCATAATACCACCATTCCATTCCCGGAAAGTGGTGTAGCCGTCAAAGTCTCGAATAACTGAAACAGGAAACACTCGAAGCAGCCCGTACACCTAGGCAGAATCAGCGATATATACATACCACGATAAGTATCTAGTAAACAATGACATCTTCAATACGCTTGGTGACAATGTAGTGACCTTACTAGTGAAATATGTAACGTACTGTAACAAAGTGTCTGGTTACAGCTCTCCTACCTGGCATGTTGCTGGGGACACCTTCAATAGGCTTGGTGACAATGTAGTGACTTTACTTGTGAGATATGTAACGTACTGTAACAAAGTGTCTGGTAACAGCCCTCTCATAGGTACCTGGCATTTTGCTGGGGACACCTTCAATATAGGCTTGGTGACAATGTAGTGGCCTTGCTAGTGAGATATGTAACGTACTGTAACAAAGTGTCTGGTTGCACCCCTCCTACCTGGCATGTTGCTTGGGACGCCTTCAATAGGCTTGGTGACAATGTAGAAGTGTTCACAGGAGTGTAAGGGAACTTTCACTTCCGGGGATGACTTCTTGCCAATCTCATGAGCCCACTGCAGCAGACAAAAGTCATCAGTTAGTTCGTACTCACACACAACGTGCAGAGGCATCAGCTTTAACATCTTCACTGGATGTCCACAGCACCTGGTGATGCTGCCAGTTGCAATGAGGAAATGTCTTTTTTTTCTCAGTAATTAAATCAGTATCTGGTCATACCATGGCCAGAAATTGAAAAAATAATATAAGTTATGGCGGGGAAAGACTGAACTCTACCCGTTTGAGATCCAGGCGTCAGTGAGTCCAGGTTTTTTTCAGTGAACACTAAGCCAGGAAAATCAAGGCGTTCAGCTTGACAAGCCAACACTGTACAAACAAGCTCCTCCTCCAGCCTCTCTCTCCTGAAAGATGTGTTATGACATGCGTTCATCATTCTGGAGACGCACACAAACATTGTGACACCTAGATATCACCTACCTGTCCCCCACAGTTCACGAAGTATTCACAGTTGATTGTACCAAGGGAAGTTTTCACAGCATAGACTCGGTCATTTTTGGTGAGAATTCTGTCAAGTTGCACACCCTCCATCACCTTCACTCCTGGAAAACACAACACCAGGCTACTGAAGCTCACCTTCTTGCATGGCAGTTGATAAAGTACAGAAGCATAATTTGTTCAGTTCTTTTGTCCTTTCATGAATATATAAAATGACTCTGGTCGAGATTCTAAGTAGGAAATGATTCTCAGTATCTTAAGCAGCAACCAGAGACTTGCCAGACTTAGTCACCGTGTTGTATTTGTACTCTGATGACATTAGATGTTCCACTTGATCAAACAATATCATTCACAACTCCGTCTCGATTACATGTCAGTTGCCAGTACATATGTGGCATGTTGCTACTTTTAGTGTGAAAAAATAAACTGGAAGATGTAAAACTATACAGGCGACTCAAGGTTATATTGTTTCAGCTCTCAATAGGTCATGTCTGGATGTGAACAAAATGGTTCACACTTTGATCGTTGAACGAAACACAATACTTTCTGAATGACCAAAAGAGATGAAAGATGACAATTACAGAGTTCAAAGTTCAGACACAACCAAATCTCAGGACAAATGACATTCCCTAGAATATTACCATCTTTACCCTGATGCCGACGGCAACATCTGTTTTGTGGACTCACCAAGAATCTAAAAAAACATTTCTGATAAGTAAATGTGTCTTTTTCAAACACGAACCTTTCTCTTTTGCCAGTCTACTCAGCACCATGGCAACATCTGGGGCGGTTGTGACGCCATCTTCTGGAATCCACAAGCCTCCCTGCACAGTACCAGCCAGTGATAAGACGACAAACATTCTATACCATGTGGACTATGTGGTGTTCCACCAGTTATGAAAGAAACCTCAGTGAAATTAGGATGATCTCTGGAGTTTCCTCGGTATCACAAACCTATGGATATATGCATGGATGTGGTGCCTCACACAAAGGGTCATCATTGCTACAAAAACTTCATCAGCACTAACACTTCACTGTGTACATTGAGCTGAACACCCCTTATCTTGGACAGATTAAATACAATGTAGATCTTACCACTAGGTCATCATGACGTACAAGAGGGTTGATGTCCAGTACTAACACTTCACGGTGTACATTGAGCTGAACACCCCTTATCTTAAACAGATTAAATACAATGTAGATCTCACCACTAAGTCATCATGGCGTACAAGAGGGTTGATGTCGGCGATCTCTGACGGACTCACAATGTGGGATTCCACACCACCATATCTGTACAGGAAAAAGATGAGTCTCAGAGTGACATTTGTGACCTGCTTGATTCCCCTCCGACACAATACTCTCTGTATGGGCATCTGATAAACTCTCCACAGAAGGGACAAATGAAACCTTAGTGAACTCTCCCAGAACAGTCTATATGAAGGGAGACCTTGAGTTTTTCCAATACCAAAACACATTGACCATATTTCATAAGAAACTCTTTTCATAATCAAATTCTCTTTGAACAAATGCTAGAAGCACAGTCTAGTGTAAATTCTGATGACATAGTATTCATGTGTCTATGAATGATTATTAAACGGTGAGGATACCAGGTGCCAGCGAAAGGATTAGCGTGGTACCTGTCATAAACACATCCAAAGGCAAGGCAATTGTTAACCTGATAAAACATAAGAACACATGGTACAAGTCACAGGAAAAAATAGCATCAGACATATTTTTTTCCACTGATGCATTAAATTTGGAAGTGTTCCGCAAACCCAAAACACAGATTCAGAGGTACGGCTGTCAGTTACTATACACGATCTGGGTGAGTCACCTTCAGACATGGTCACATTAGTAAATCTAACCTGCTGATGGCTTGTTTCCGCCTCAGGTCTGTCATTCGGTCTTTGGTCCGAGCCAGTAAAATACTGCCACACTGTTTCCACCCTGTACAAAACACAAGCAGTTTACAATGTGATGCCAAATCCCCTGCCCCGTAACCAATAATTGTTTCTTGTATTCAGTCTCTACTGTTTTCCGCTATAAACTCCACTTTACTTTACTGCCAAATACACTTCCTAGGAACCAATAATTGTTTTCGTCTGTTCAGAGCCTCCACTGGATGCTCCTCTCAACTTTACTGTGAACCTGGTCATGTTGACCACTCACCCTAACCTTGTTGACCACTCACTCTGACCTTGTTGACCACTCACCCTGACCTTGTTGACCACTCACCCTAACCTTGTTGACCACTCACTCTGACCTTGTTCACCACTCACCCTAACCTTGTTGACCACTCATCCTGACCTTGAACACTCACCCTGACCTTGTTGATCACTCACCCTGATCTTGTTGACCACTCACCCTGACTTTGTTGACCACTCACCCTGACCTTGTTGACCACTCACCCTGACCTTGTTGACCACTCACCCTGATCTTGTTGACCACTCACCCTGACCTTGTTGACCACTCACCCTGACCTTGTTGACCACTCACCCTGACCTTGTTGACCACTCAACCTGACCTTGGTGGCCACTCACCCTGACCTTGTTGACCACTCACCCTGACCTTGTTGACCACTCACCCTGACCTTGTTGACCACTCACCCTGACCTTGGTAGCCACTCACCCTGACCTTGTTGACCACTCACCCTGACCTTGTTGGCCACTAAACCTGACCTTTTGTCCACGCACCCTGACCTTGTTGACCACTCACCCTGACCTTGTTGACCACTCACCCTGACCTTGTTGACCACTCACTCTGACCTTGTTGACCACTCACCCTGACCTTGTTGACCACTCACTCTGACCTTGTTGACCACTCACCCTGACCTTGTTGACCACTCACCCTGACCTTGAACACTCACCCTGACCTTGTTGATCACTCACCCTGATCTTGTTGACCACTCACCCTGACTTTGTTGACCACTCACCCTGACCTTGTTGACCACTCACCCTGACCTTGTTGACCACTCACCCTGACCTTGTTGACCACTCACCCTGACCTTGTTGACCACTCACCCTGACCTTGTTGACCACTCACCCAGACCTTGTTGACCACTCACCCTGACCTTGTTGACCACTCACCCTGACCTTGTTGACCACTCACCCTGACCTTGTTGACCACTAAACCTGACCTTTTGTCCACGCACCCTGACCTTGTTGACCACTCACCCTGACCTTGTTGACCACTCACCCTGACCTTGTTGACCACTAAACCTAACCATGTTGACCACTCACCCTGACCTTGTTGACCACTCACCCTGACCTTGTTTACCACTCAACCTGACCTTGTTGACCACTCACCCTGACCTTGTTGACCACTCACCCTGACCTTGTTGACCACTAAACCTGACCATGTTGACCACTCACCCTGACCTTGTTGACCACTCACCCTGACCTTGTTGACCACTCACCCTGACCTTGTTGACCACTCACCCTTTCCTTGTTGACCACTAAACCTAACCATGTTGACCACTCACCCAGACCTTGTTGACCACTCACCCTGACCTTGTTGACCACTCACCCTGACCTTGTTGACCACTCACCCTGACCTTGTTGACCACTAAACCTGACCTTTTGTCCACGCACCCTGACCTTGTTGACCACTCACCCTGACCTTGTTGACCACTCACCCTGACCTTGTTGACCACTAAACCTGACCATGTTGACCACTCACCCTGACCTTGTTGACCACTCACCCTGACCTTGTTGACCACTAAACCTGACCATGTTGACCACTCACCCAGGCCGTGTCCCTCTTCCTCCAGCCTCCTGTACAGATTCCTGCTGTAGTTCATCAGCTTCATTTCCGTCAGACTGGACCGAACACAGCCGATCAGACCCGCAGAGTGCCACGTTGTTCCACATGTCAGTCTGTGAACAGAATGATGTTCAACTTTCCTTTATTTTGCGAGCTTGTGTGAAGTAACCACATCAGATTCTTGTATCCTGCGTGTAGGATTCGTCACAAGTATCGAAAGTACTCGATAATCCCAAATATGTATAACATGTTGGATTTGACCACTTTCTAAAAGCCATTGTGTATTCATAGCTTCGTCAATGGGAGCCGTGCCAATTTACACTTGTCAGAGGGGTACACAAGGTAGACGATCTAGACTATCAGTTGTGAGACATCCATGTTTGTGGAAGCCATAGTGGTTGAGTGTGTTAGATCTCTGGCTTTGAGTGCTGGTTATTAGATGCCTAACACTGATTGTATGGGACGAGACTAAAAAACAAAACCTACTAGAATAGACAGACAGATTTTATTCAGTAATATTGGCCAACTGGCCCATTATACAATTGTTGTTACATTTTAGTTGTCACGTGGTAAGAAAAACTATATTTAAACACTGCTTCAAATATTCTTGGAGAATACACACTTCAGAAATTTGGCTATTGCTTTAACGGTACATCTGTTTTGTGAATTCAACAAATTTATCATTTGGGATTTGCATACATAGATGCCATCAAGGAATCTTAAATATTTTCTTCTCAAATCATTATATTCTGGACATTGTAGTAAAATATGAAATTCATCCTGAACTTGTCCGCTGTTACAGTGGTTACATAAAGTGTGCTGTCTCTCAGCATCCTTGTTTCGTCTGGCTGCATTCACATTCAAATTATGTAGAGAAATCCGGAATTTACAAAATACCTTCAGTAACGTCTTATCATGAAACAGGTATGCAATATACGCTTCAGGGTAAAATCCTGAAACTTTACAAGACTATAATTACTAAAAAAATATCCACTAATCTTTGCTTAAACACATACAAGAACAATTTTTCATCCCCAATATTTTGGCATTGTGAATACCCACAAGCAAACAGCAAAATACCGATATCTGAAACCCAGTTCATTTTACCCCAGTTCTTTCAACACTTTATAACATTGATGTGGATATCTGTTTTCACCATTCTGACCTATTTCATCCAATATTTAACAGCGCATTGCCTACTTAAAACAAACATATTGGTACGAACCATTTCACCTAATATTGACTTATTCGATGCGAATTTCCCAACACACAGGAAACGTTGGTAATAGGATGTTTGCACCTTTTCAATACAGTCATGATATTTACGGCCCCATATTTCCGATGCATACAACAAAATAGGTGCAATTTTACCATCGAAGATATTACGTGCTGTCGAAAAAGAATTTTACACTACCAAATGTCCATTGTTCATTTTTGGCAACTATTCCCCCGTTTCTGAATACGACTATATTTGTCTTGTCCAAATTTAATTGAAGTCCCCAGTTTAAACAAAACGAATGCAGGACATTTAATTGCCTTTGCATATTTACAACAGTACAGGAGAATAGAACAACGTCATCGGCAAATAGAAGCAGCATAATATCAATTATATCCTGAGATACAAATATACCTTGGGAACAATTTTCATACAGTTCATGTACTAATTCATTTATAAAGAAAATGAAAAGAATGGGGCTGAGCATACAGCCTTGACGAACACCACTGGAGGTAGAAAATGGCTGTGTTTGACAATTTCCAACATTAACAAAAGCTTTAACAGATGTATACATATTTTCCAAAATATGTACCCTACGGAGAAAGTATAATGATGACCACTTTCTGCAAGGCATTGTGTATTTGCCGCATAGAGGAGGTATATAATTCCGTTATAACTAATTCATTTCTGCTGACTGTCAGAATTATCTCGCTTTGAAATAGAAAAAGTGTAAAACAAGGTACAAAATCATCATATCCCCAAATACACACACACTACGTAACCCTGCCACACCCATCACTATTTCCCGCTGTTCTTCATATAAATCAGGCATTCACATCCAGACATAAATGACCCAATCTAACACCCCCATCCCACATCCCCCACCCCCAACAGTGACCCACTATCCACCAATTTTCACCAGAACCCCTTCCATAGAACCATACAATGATTCTGATGCAACATTTTTCAGCACTATTCCAGCTATATGGCGGCGGCCTGTAAATAACCTAATCTGGCTATATGGCGGCAATCCAGTGATAAGCAGCATGAGCATCTATCGATGCAATTGGGAATAGATGACTTCGAAGCTATGAATACACAATGCCATTTAGAAAACGCTCAGATGTAATATTTGGGATTACATTTTCTCCGTAAAATACAGATTCTAGTATCTGGATTCACAACTCACGTTCCAAGAGTCAGGCACCTAATCATGCACACAATAAATACAGACACACTGAGCTTCCACACAACACAGACACAACACACAGTAAATGCACGAATTCATACAAGGTCATTGCAACATGCACAAAAGACAGATATGGTCACAGTGGTAGTCACACAACACAGACGGGAGATATGTACTGTGAGACCCACCTTCCCTGTTCCAGCAACACCACGTCCGTCACACCCCGCTCCGCCAGGTGATACACGACGGAGGACCCCACCACGCCTCCGCCACACACCACCACCCTCGCCTGCTGGGGTAGTGACGACACACCTGTGCTGTATGTTCTCCTGTCAAGTGTCCCACTGCTCAGACCTCTGTACTGCCTCATGCAACACTCCACTGACCGGTTCCTGTTTGTGGGTACAGAGATCCATGTTCTGGTCAGTGAATAACATCTGGACAGGGCGCCTTTATACATGTTGATATTCAGCAGTTCGCCACTCCACCTTACAGCTGTGCTCGGCAATATCCCCTCAGAGAAAGGTCTGCTCGTGTGAGATCATTCATTGCTTAAATCCGCTATCTGCTATGGCCCCTTTCCTCTGCCTGTCGAATAACATAATCCGGTTTATTCTCGTTTGCTTTCTGAACATCTGTCCTGACATGGATATGAAACAGTAACATGTGAAGGCCTGTTAAACTGTGTTGTGGTTTTTCTAGGCTCTAACATTGACGTGTCTGACTGTGTTGTGGGTGTCCAAGGCTGTAACATTGACGTCTCATTCTGTGTTGTGGGTGTATAAGGCTCTAACATTGACGTGTCTTACTGTGTTGTGGGTGTCCAAGGCTGTAACATTGACGTGTCATTCTGTGTTGTGGGTGTATAAGGCTCTAACATTGACGTGTCATACAGTGTTGTCTGTGTCCAAGGCACTAACTTGTCGTGTCATACTATTTTGGCGTTCAATGCCCTAATATTGACGTGTCATACTGTGTTGTGGGTGTCCAAGGCTCTAATATGGACGTGTCAATCTGTGTTGTGGGTGTCTAAGGCTCTAACATTGCCGTGTCTGTGCTGTGGGTTTACAAGGCTCTAACATTGACGTGTCATACTGTGTTGAGGGTGTTCAAAGCTGTAACATTGACGTGTCATACAGTGGTGTCGGTGTCCAAGCCTCTAACATTGACGTGTCATACTGTTGTGGGTGTACAAGGCTCTAACATTGTCGTGTCATAGTGGGTTGCGTGTGCCCAAGGCTCTAACATTGACGTGTCATAGTGGGTTGTGGGCGCCCAATGTTCTGACATTGACATGTCATACTGTGTTGTGGGTGTCCAGGGCTCTAACACTATCATGTCAATCTGTGTTGTGGGTGTCCAAGGCTCTAACATGGTCGTGTCATTCTGTGTTATGGGTGTCCAAGGCTCTAACATTGACGTGTCATTCTGTGTTGTGGGTGTCCAAGGCTCTAACATTGTCGTGTCAATCTGTGTTGTGATTGTCCAAGGCTCTAACATTGCCGTGTCATTCTGTGTTGTGGGTCTCCAAGGCTCTAGCATTGCCGCGTTATACTGTGTTGTGGGTGTGCAAGGCTCTAAAATTGTTGTGTCATTCTGTGTTGTGGATGTTCAAGGCTCTGACATTGCCGTGTTATTCTGTGTTGTAAGTGTCCAAGGCTGAAGCACCACAGTGTTATGTTGTGCTGTAAGTGTACTGGGTTGGGGCATAACAGTGTTATATTGCGTTGTATGTGTCCTGGGTTGGGTCATAACAGTGTTATTTTGTGTTGTATGTGTCCAGGGTTGGGTCATAACAGTGTTATATAGTGCTGTATGTGTCCTGGTTTGGGTCATAACAGTGTTATACTGTGTTGTATGTGTCCTGGGTTGGGTCATAACAGTGTTATATTGTGTTGTGGGTGTCCTAGGTTGAAGCTTGACAGTGTTATACATTATCAATTCAGTCCTGAGCATACGATGCTGATCTGAAAGACCCACGATGGCAAACAGCTCAGAAGTATTTGAAATAAATCCAAACAAAACATTCTTGATCAGCATAGTTTTCTGTGAGACTGAAATTGCTAGCGTGACCTTCCTTTCAATTACGAGTCTACCGACCTAAAAATGCATCGATCCGACCACTGAATGGGAATATATAATTAGTAAATTCATCAGCATGAACTGTTTTTCCTGTCTAGCTGAATGCATAAATTATCTGTTTATGCATGTCTATGAATCTAAGCGTAGTACAGTAATATGTCACAGAGCTCATAGGATTAGACATAGCAAATGTAAGCGCTACATCCCTACCATAGAGGTAGTCTCTGAGATGGACACTCTGGTTCGTCGATCAAAGTTAACAACATATCTATTGGATCCACTCTCGCATGAATATTTTGGATGTTTCCGGAATAGACATGAAATTCACCCAGTTTAAAGATAGCGAGAAAGGCACCAGCTATGAATGGGACGTGATTCTAATTGTTTCATCCTGTCAGAGAGGTTAGACATAGATATCAGCCTTTAAACAGTGTAATTCGACAAGTAAAAAAAATCTGTAGTTCACTTAGCGATACAGTGGAGGATAGCGAGATCGAGACGTCGTGTCAACTAAGTTTAGGCTGTGTAAACAAACCCTACTGACTGCTTCATTGCCTTACACTTATGCTTATAAAGTCAGGTGGTTGTTGTTAGAAATGTAAAACCTAGCCTAAAGATAGTGAGAAAGGTTATATATATGTAGATCATGAGTAGGAAGGAAGAGAGTGGCTTTTATCAATAGCTTTCTCCAAGGTATATACATGTAGTAATGACCGCTCAACTACTGCGGGTGAAATGGGGACACTGTTTCAAACACTCGTTAGGTCTCATGCTGGCTTACAGATCGACCGGTTTACAGATCGCGTTGACTGGGTAAGAATATTTAAATCAAAGCAATTATATATACTATTCTGTAACGGTATGCGCGATCTAGTTCTGTATGTATGGGATTCTATCTTTAGCAGCATGCGTTGAAACAGGAGTAGACATGACTGAAGAGTGATGTTGTCATCTAGGCAGTTATCTCCCTTTCCTATTTCGTTTCAATGCGATAACTAATGTGAGCAGTACCACTGCCTAACCAACACATTTTCAGAATAATATCAATCAAGTTTATGTGAATGGGGGTTATTTAAAATATAATACTTTTGCACTGGCCCATATTGTAGGCTACAATACGTAATTGTATAAGTTACACTATAAAATACGCCCTCGTGTATATAGAGTCGACAGTATTTAACACACTACCTCGTGTATATAGAGTCGACAGTATTTAACACACTACCTCGTGTATATAGAAGAAGAAGAAGAAGAAGGGTTTATTTTGTATAAAGGCCATACGACCCACCGTACAAGGTGGTACAATAATGATTTTGGTTACCATTTTCATACAACGCTAACAGGAGCAGAATAAACATGTTCTAAGAACTTGACAAAATTATTTATGATGTTATTGTCGGATGATGTACATATGCTGCGGAGTGAATAATAATATCCATGGACCGTTTTCGGAATGTAACGCCGACGCATATCCTCATAGCGTTTACAAATATAGACAATATGGATTTCATCCTCAATACTTTTACAGTGTTTACATAATACAATATCATCATTGCAGGAGGCAGTACCTCTTCTAATATATTTGATACCTAGTGCATTACACCCTGATCTAAATAATGTGAACAGACGCTTGCACTTATTACTTATGTTCAATGATAAATATTTTTCACAGGTCAACAGAGATTTATGGGACTTATAGAAAGACAGCGAAGGAACATCTAGGGACAAATGCCACTCTTGCATAGAGCAGTTGTTAATTCTTTCAGTAAACATATATAGAAACATTTTCGTATCACCGACATCTTGTGAAATCCAAGCTGTACCAAAGCCAAGATAAAATAACAAATCACTGACATGCCGAGCCCATGTGGGACGTTTCCTGAATTCAACAGATAATAAAAAATTATAACATTGATATGGATATCTACTTTGATGCATTCTTAATAATCTTAGCCAGTATTTAATACATTTGACATAATAAACATTGCTTAAGGGTGCCCTCCCACATTCCCCATATGCAACAGCATTAGATGATCTGTAACTAATCTGAAGTAAAAATTTGCAAAATTTTCGATGGACAATTTCAATACTTTCTCTCTTTTTAAAACCCCATATCTCAGCACCATATGTTAGAATTGGTACAATCTTTTATCAAAAATATAAAATCCTTCTGAGAGTGACATATCATATCGTCTTATAAATGACTTGATCGGCCACAGTGCCTTATTAGCTTGATCAGATAATGTTTTACATGCCCTAGTCCAAATCAATTTGGGAGTTATCATAAGTCCTAGATATTTATAAATATTAACAGTTTCCATTCGAATGCCATTATAGAACCATTTTTCGTGTTTGGACAAGGGTCCACCCATTTTAAAAACAATTATTTTACTTTTATCCGTATTAATATCCATGCCCCATTTATGGGAATACATATGTAGGGCGTCAAGGCGGCGCTGTAATCTAACAACAGTATCAGCTATCAAAACCAAATCATCTGCAAATAACAGAGCAATAATATTCAACATATTTTCGGAGATAAATATACCATCATCAAACTTATTTTCTAAGGTCAATACAAGCTCATTAATATATAAAGAAAATAATACCGGACTAAGGACACAGCCTTGCCGAACCCCACAGGTGCTATCAAAATATTCAGTTAATTTCTTACCATACTCATAGGTTACAGTGGCCTTGACATTAGTATACATATTTTTAATCAACTTGAAAAAATTTCCATGGATCCCATTTTGCAAAAGAACATACAGTAATTTAAACCTATTCACCATGTCAAAGGCCTTGCGAAAATCTATGAATGCAATATATATCTTCCCATTTTTACGTGTTAAATACTTCTGAATGATTGTCTGGAGAATAAAGATACTGTCCACAGTCGAATGGTCTGTCTTAAATCCACCCTGATATTCTCCAATTATCTCACGAAGTTGCAAAAAGTACTCCAATCTTTTGTTTAGAACCAAACAAAAATTTTGCTCATTACATTCAGAAGAGAGATCCCCCTATAATTATTCGGGTCAGATCTACTACCTTTCTTATGTAGTGGGATAATAATGCCAGTTGACCAGGAATTTGGCCACAAGCCGGATGAGAGTATCTTGTTGAACAGTAATACTAAATAGGGAACTATTATATGTTCAGAAACTTTGAAAAACTCTGCGGGAATACCATCATCGCCTGGGGATTTGTTACATTTTAGATGTTTGACAGCATTTATCACATCCTGATCTGTAAAGTCACATGATAGAATATCATCGTCATTGATACAATCAACACATGTATTAAAGTCATGTTTATCAACATATGATTTGGCATCTTCTGAAAAGTTGCCATCTTCTGGCAACGTTGGGTTTAACAAGTCCTTAAAGTACTCAGCCCATGTTCATGGCGTTACACTTTCTTCCATGGCGCGAGTTGTGGTATATTTTTTCACAAGTCGCCAAAATGCTGAGCAGTCTCTGGAACAAGCTGCATCATGTATTTTTTGAGTAATGGAACGTTTATAGCTATCTTTCTTAGTTTTACAAGTCTGTTTGAACTGAGATCT